TTTAAAGGGTAAAAAGGGAAAAAAGGTTTAGGGAAGTTAAAAGGTGGGGAATTTTTTAAGGCTAGGTAGTCTTAGGGAGGGGTCCACCTGCAGCAGCGCCAGCAGGGTTTGCCGCGCGGGGCAATTACGGGGGGTGGAAGCAGCGGATCGATTCGTTCTGAAGGAGTCCCGGATTTTGAAGCCCCGCCAACCACGCCTTGGGCCCACCCCCCCTCGGTCAGCGCAATCTGGGAGTCGGGTGTGCTCTGGTACGCAGTCCGGTTGACGTTGCCCTCCGACTGGCCGTGCCGCACGAGGATGATGCGCTTCGGCCGCCGCAGCTTGCCCTCGCGCCGCGCACGCAGCCGCACCTCGAGCTGGTCCGCCAGCCAGTCGAGCGGGTCGAGCAGCTGCGGCGGCGGAGAGCGGAGCCGCCGCCTTGGTGGCGCTGCGGCAGCGGCGAGCGGCCTGAGCGTGCTGCTGCCAAAACTCAAGCCTGGCATCGGCCGCAGGCCCGCCGCCACGGCAAACGTCGCGGCAAGCACGCATCGTATCGCGCTCCGCGCCGGCATGCCTCCCTGATCGGAGGCTGATGCTGCAGCGGTATTCTAGCTCAGGCTGCGGTTGGCCGAAGGGTCAGGCCTGGCGGAGCTGCGGTGGGCTCATAGAGAGGAAGAGAATTCAGCCCCCTTTGTGCCGCGTCCCGTGGGCGACGGCTAGCGCATCACACTCCTCTCCTTAAAATCCCTGTGTGGTGGCGGCGTGCCGTCCTCCCATCCCTCCCTTGGGTTGTCTGTTTTCTTTCTTTCTTTTTTTTGCCCCCGAGTTCATTTTATAAGAAGAATGGAAATGGATGGAGGAGGAGGAGGACGCTTGTCTTGTGGCCTCGTCTACAGCGCCGGCATCATCAGTGAGGGCACAAGTGTTCGAAGAGAGAGTGGACCTGAGCAGTAATATGACTGGGTGGCAAATGATAGCAGTGGGCGTCAGAAGACTCGTCCTTGCTCGAGGAGAGCTCGATAGACTCGAGGGGCCAAGATATGCAGCGAGCAGGGCGGAGCTGCGCCGAAAGGCGCAAGAAGCCGCGAGAGCAAGGGACCGGCAGGAGGCGGCGGCGCCGCAGAACGAAGCAGAGGAGAGCGACGCGACAGAAGAAGAAGAGACAAGGGAAAGAACGACGAGAAGGGGGCGACCGCGAGGTGGCATGAAGGTCGCAGCGAGAATCTGCGAGAGACTGCGAAGAGAGATAGGAAGAGGCGGACGCCCAAGGGTGGGCGACGGCTAGCGCATCACACCCCTCTCCTTAAAATCCCTGTGTGGTGGCGGCGTGCCGTCCTCCCATCCCTCCCTTGGGTTGCCCGTTTTCTTTCTTTCTTTCTTTCCTCGTCTGAATTCGGACGCCTGTGCTACCCTTCACACACGCTACACACGGTGTACTAGCACGGCGCATCCTGCGCCGTGCCCCATGAGTGTCGATACTCCAGCATCACACCCTCTGTGCCACAATCGTGTCACGAGAGAGAGAGATTTTTAGCAATACCAAACAAATCTAACACTCACACGTCATTTGGGGCCTGGAGCCCTGTTCACGCGCGCGCGAGACGTGCAGACAGGGTTGCCAGGTGAGAGCGAATGGCGCGGTTCACGCCTCGCACAACAGAGAGAGAGATGCGCTCTGCATGGTGGGACATAAAAGAGAGCGAGTACTTGGGCGAGTAGGCCGTTTGTGTTTGTTGTTGTCACGTGGACGTCCCTTGGACAGCGCGACCGGAGAACCAGTGTTTTGATCCTTTACAGTCCTACATAGAGCCAGCCACC